AAGCCTTTCCACAAGCATCTGCCGTACCAAATTAACGTAGGTTGATTTAGTGCAGTGGTTCCTAAAATTGTTCGGGCCACCCCTTGGCTCTATAAACTCATGTCCTAACCTATAAAAACATTCTTCAGAACAGCGGTTTGCAGTCTATTATTGTACCACTTCACAAGAAGAGTGATAAAACTGACTAGTAATCATCGGGGAATATCACTGCAATCAACTTCATATACAAATTTTATTCAGTATTCTTCTTTCAAGGTTAAGTCCATGTATAGATGAAATTATTGGTGATCATCAGTGTAGGTTTCGACGTAACAGATCAACTACTGATCAGATTTTTTGCATTTGTCAGATATTGGAGAAAAAATGGGAGTACAATGAGACAGTACATCAGCTATTCATAGACTTCAAGAAAGCCTATGATTCAGTTAGAAGGGAGGTATTGTACAATATTCTCATAGAGTTTGGGATACCCATGAATCTAGTTAAGCTGATTAAAATGTGTTTAAACGAAACTTGTAGTAAAGTCCATACAGGTAAACATTTGTCTGATAATTTCCCTATCCAGAATGGTCTAAATCAAGATGCTTAAATCGCCACTCCTTTTCAACTTTGCCATAGAATATGCTATTATAAAGATCCAGGAAAACGGGGTGGGACTGAAATTAAATGGGACACATCGGCTGTTGGTCTATGCTGATGATGCGAATCTACTGGGTGGTAATATAAACACCATAAAGAAAACAAAGTTTAATTGGTGCAAGTAAGGAGGTTGGTCTAGAAGTAAACACAGAGAAGACTAAGAATATATATTGCTGTCTCATCACCAAAATTCAGGGCAGAATCATGACATAAAGATAGGTAACAAAAGCATTGAAAATGTGACACAGTTCAGATATTTGGGAACGACGATAACAAATCAAAACCAGATTCAGGAGGAAATTAAGAGGAGACTGAATTCGGGTAATGCTTGCTACCATTAACTCCAGAACCTTTTGTCTTCTCATCTGCTGTCTAAAATCATAAAAGTTAGAATATACAAAATTATTATTTTGCCTGTGGTTCTGTATGGGTGTGAAACTTGGTCTCTGACATTTAGGGAGGAACATAGACTGAGAGTGTATGAGAACAGGATGCTGAGGAGAATATTTGGGACCGAAGAGAGATGAAGTGACGGAAGACTGGAAAAAACTGCATAATGAGGAGCTTAATAACTTGTACTCCTTTCCAAGTATAATTAGAATGATGAAGTAAAGGAGGATGAGGTGGGCAGGGCATGCAGCACGAATGGGGGAGACGAGAAATTCATATAGGATATTGGTGGGAAAGCCAGAAGGAAAGAGGCCACTGGTAAGACCAAGGCGCAGATGGGTGGACAATATTAAAATGGACCTTCGAGAGATAGGATGGGATGGTATGGATTGGATTTATCTGGCTCAGGATAGGGACCAGTGGAGGACTCTTGCGAGCACGGTAATGAACCTTGGGGTTCCATAAAATGCTGGGAAATTCTTGACTAGCTGCAGAATTGGCGACTCCTCAAGAAGGGCTCCGGTCCAAAAATGAGTGAGCGAGGGAGCGGTTTGCACACCCACTGAGGCAGATACTCGTAATAACAAAAAAAATAAGATACAACGTTTAGTAGCTACTTTGCTGTTAGTAAATTCTTAATGGGATGGATGGATTTGATGAAGTGATGCCAATCTCTCAATTTCTGGATAAAGCCATAAACATTAGGATAATGCGCCCGAATGGGCCCACCACCATCAGCGCCCCTGGTGGTACAGCTCACTTTGGAAACCACTGATTTATTGGAACAAACGTTACGGCAAGAAAAAACTAATTCAGTAACGTTAAATTAAATCATTGCAATTAACCGTTGCATGTGTATCAGAATTCTGGGCCAGTAATATGTATATAGCAAATAGAATCATGCTGTGAAAGCAACTACAGTGAATAATATTTCGACATACCGACCTAACCAATTTTCTTGCTTCCTGAGGAGCAATGAAATTGTACACGTACAGGCACCCTTGTCCTATGCCAGCGAAAGCATCGGATTGTTAAAATTGCGGCGGTTGGCAGCATTGTAGCATGAAATAAGAACGTACAGCGTGTTGTGTACAGATGAGCGTTGTTGAGGACCTTTGGAATTTCGTGATTTACTGTATCCTCTTTTTTTCTCTTGAAGTGCGAACAAGTGCTGTGACCGTAGTTACTAAAAAAATACAAACATTTGACTACTTTAGAAGATATACCTCAGTTAGTGTCTGTAATAGGGGGACACTTTTCAGGTTAAATGTTTTGAAATTGCCGAAGGGGATCAAAAGGATTATACTAATAATTCCTTTCTTATTGCTAGTTAGGAAACCGGACCGTCTTATAATGTTTGAAGATATCATATCAAATATTAAGGCTCATTCAGCCAAAGTATCCGAAGCATTAACCTTAGAAAATTTAAGAGCACATACCTTGCGTTTTACAGATAATTTTGACAGTCTTAAAGTACAAACAACTAAACTTTCCGATAACATTGTGACAACTCTGAAAAAATCAGCCCCTCGTTACTATGCTGATTCGAAGGCCCAAGGAAAACATGAATTGAAATGGCCAGTGCTTGTGGATAACAAAATGCAGTGGGTTACATTTCCCATGAATGCAGGAAATATTTCGAATTGTGATGATGAAGATGAAGATATAGTAGAAAGATTCATTCGCGTCATAAGTCTAGATGAAGAGAAACCATTTATCCAAGTAAGACATAATGAAATCTTAAAGGAATACAGTGTCTCCTTCAAGCAAGTTTCAAAGTGTGTTAAGATGAGGCATTTATCATCTCTGCATGATTATGGGTTTAGACTAGTCTGAATGAAAATGTGATCGTATTAGGAATACGCACAAAAATGAAAATGCTATCTTCAACTCTGAAGATGGCATTATTCCAGTTCGCCTGCCTTGTGTGTTAAATAAGTCAGATGTTGTATATGTAAAATTTAGTGCCAATAAACTTGAATGGAAACTTTTCCAGTTAAGTTTCTGATGGCAGAATATTTTCAGGTTTTTTTTGAGGAAGGTCCTTTTCTTATTTCAGTCTTTGGTGCTTTAATAGCCTTTTATCTGCTTTTTAATTATTTACATATCAGTTATGAGAGTGTTGTTCTTAATAAAAGTTTATTGTTAATTTGATCAGTTGTAATAATTATTTCTTGTCAAAGTGTGATTTTTTTTGCAGATATTTTGTTCAGGACAGTTGCTACATTAAGTTTTATAAATCTGAATATTTTGTAAGCAAATGATTGATGTAAAATTGCACCAACTCTTTGTTCCTTCATTTGCCTAGAATAATAAATTTATATCTGTAACATGTCTAACATTAAATAATTTTATAATCTCTACTTCTGTAAGTAATATTTGTGCTTTATTAAAATTTTGAAGTTGTAGGAATAGCAACTTGTGCAGATTTTAGGAAATTAGCGTTATAAAAATCTTGTAACTAAAATGGATCTCTGCCATTAATATAGATGTATGGCTCCTTTTCTGTGATTTTTATAGTGGTCAATAATTTTGTATCACATCTCAGAAGACTGTAGTTTTAATGCTCACCACTGTGAGAACATCAAATCTCATGTTGTTCACCACCATGGTCACATCTTCAGATATCTGGACACATGTTGAGCCATTTGAATTCAGTTCACAGCATCACAATCCATTTCTTCAAGATCTATTTTAAGATTTTCCACCCAGTTGTGCTTATCCAAACATGTTTCATTGCTTGTGATTTCCTGAACAGAATTGTGTATGCATTTCTAATTTCAGCCATGTGTGTTGCATGTCCCACTAGTATCATCTTATTATATTTAATGGCTTCACTAATATAAGGTTGAGGTCATAGGTTATGAACTCCACAGAAGAAGAAATATTATATGAGACCTTTCCATGCAGAATTTGTTTTCTTGGCTAATGTAGAATAATGAAACGTCAAGGGACATTTTTGTAACCTAACATAACCTAACCTAACCTGGTAAGGGACATGCAGTGAAACCTGTGTTGACCACGTGTGGTTCCACTGAAAGGCTACCCACTTAGGCAGCTGGCCAGTTTGTAGAAAATTTTGCTAAAATTCCTCATTTTTATGTCTGTAGTGATTAAAGTCTTAACTATTGACTTCTGCTGTTTTTGCTGCTATGTAAGATTTTTTTGAGACTTTTCACATTTTTTAGACCCCGTAACTGTTGTGCAGATACAGAATTGGTGGCTTCTCTAGAAGGGCTCAGCTCCATGAGTGATTGAGTGAGTGAATCAGTTACATTTGAAAAATGCAGCACGAGATGCACCATTTGTTAGATTGTTAACTAATGATCATAATTAACGGGCACTGCAGAAAGGACAGATTTGCAGAGAGATTTTAATTTGTATGGATTAGTAATAAAAAAAATGTGTGGCCAACATAGAAAATTTAAATTGCATTTGGAACCGTAGCATGAAATGCACAAAATGCTGGATATACAAGTGGTAAAATTGTGGAGAGTTGGTCAAATATAAGTTAATATCGTTTTCCCAGTTCCACGAAAAATACAGTCAGCTTCACAGGTTTCTATATAGAAGTTGGATTTGAGGTTCTCACAGCAGTAACTATGAAGACTACTCTCCCTGGGCATATGATGCTGTATATTGTGATAGAAGTTCACAGACATTTTGGAGAAATATGTTGCCTCCATCATCTGTGTAGAAGAGTGTAGTGAGCAACAAGTAGCAAGCAGAGGAAACCTAACCCCTGCTCTGTTTGCAGCCAGTTTCTTGCTTCTTTGCTTGCTGAGCTTTTAATCCTAAAGATGGAGTCAGTATGATCCTCTGCAAGGTCAGTTTACTCTTTCTGGGCCACCTAGTGTTACATCCAAGAAGGTAGCACTTGACATATATACGTACATATGTCTGTAACACAGAGAGACTTATATGTTAAAACTGAATTAATTTGAGCGATTTAATTTTGTTGCATATTTTAGCGCCGTAATGACCGTGAGGAGATTCGACGACGGCTTGCCATGGGCTCAGATGCTGATGAATATTATGGGGGTGAACGCCCAGGCAGGAAACCCAGCCTGCAGGCCAGACTTCAGAGTGGTATGTATGTTCACCATCCAGTGGCACAGTTAGCCTGATTTTCGCTATCTCATCACACACCTTGTGCAGGGATTCATGTCAGAATGAGAGAAGAGAAAGCAGGAGGGGGGCAGATATCTGCCCCTCTTGGAATTTTTGTAAATAACCAAAAATTGAAAACTTACGGAAATATACCAGAAATTAAAGTTCTTTAAAATATTCACAACATGCAGACTGCCTCTGGGGCCCACCCAGTCTCCTATCCAGTGTGTACAGGGGATGATTTCCCTGCAGGTAAAGTGACCAGGGCATGAAGCTGATCACCCACCTCCGTCTTATGCTGAGGTCACTGAGGTCAAGGGTGGTGGAGCTGTACCTATGCTCTGCCATATGTCCTCATGCTTAATTATTTAAGCACAGGGACAAGTTTGCCTTTTTGTTTTGAGTGTTATTCTGAACGCTGTGGAGAAGAGACAAATCTGCTACCCCTGTCTGCAATCGAGCCCCAATTCTTCAGTTGTCCAGTTGCTATATTGATTGAGCTATCCCAGCTGTACTTACTTATTTGCTAATGGAGCTGAGCCCTTCTTGAGGAGCTGCCAATTCTGCAGCTACTCAAGAATATCACAGTATTTTATGGAACCCAAAGGTTCATTACTTTGTTCACAAGAGCCCTCCACTGGTCCCTATCCTGAGCCAGATCAGTCCAATCCATACCATCCCATCCTATCTCTCTAAGGTCCATTTTAATATTGTCCACCCATCTGCGCCTTGGTCTTACCAGTGGTCTCTTTCCTTCTAACTTTCCCACCAATAGCCTATATGCAATCCTCATCTCCCCTTTTGTGCTACATGCCCTGCCCACCTTATCCTCCCTGACTTGACCATTCTAATTATACTTGGAGAGGAGTACAAGTCATGAAGCACCTCATTATGCAGTTTTCTCCAACTTCCTTTCACTTCATCTATCTTTGGTCCAAATATTCGCCTCAACACCCTGTTCTCAAGCACCCTCAATCTATATTCATCCCTTAATGTCAGAGACCTAGTTTCACACCCATACAGAACCACAGGCAAAATTATAGTTTTGTACTCGTATATTCTAATTTTTATGTTTTTAACAGCAGACGAGAAGACAAAAGGTTCTGGACTGAATGGTAGCAAACATCTCCCAAGTTCAATCTGCTCTTAATTTCCTCCAGAATCAGGTTTTGATTTGTTACGTCATTCCCAAATATCTGAACTGTGTCACATTTTCAAAGCATCTGTTTCCTCTCGTTGTGTCATGATTTTGCCCTGCATTTTGGTGACAAGACAGCGACATATACTTGAATGAATGTATAAGGGGTGGGCCTTTTCGGTCCTTGCACCGTGACCTACAGTGATCTATTGTGCTTTGCGACAGATACTTAGTTTTTTCTGTGTTTGCTTCTAGACCAACCTCCTTACTTGCGTCAATTAAACTTTGTTTTCTTTATGGTATCTATATTATCACCCAGTAGATTCACATCATCGGAATAAACCAACAGCTGATGTGCCCTGTTTAATTTCAGTCCCACCAGGTTTTCTTGGACCTTCCTAATGTAAAATTCTGAAGTAAATTTGGAAAGGACTGGTGATAAAGCATCCCCCCCCTTTTTTTAGACCATTCTGGATAGGAAATTTATCACACAGATGTTTACCTATATGGAATTTACGTTTCGTTTAAACACATTTTAATCAGCCTAACCAGTTTCATCGGTATCCCAAACTCTGTCATAATACTGTACAATACTTCCCTCATAACTGAATCATAGGCTTTCTTGAAGTTTATGAATAGCTGATGTACTGCCTCATTGTACTCCCATTTTTTCCCCAATGTCTGACGAATGCAAAAGATCTGATCTGTAGTTGATCTGTTACGTCGAAACCCACACTGATGACCTCCAATAACTTAATCTGCATATGGAATTAACCTTGAGAGAAGAATATTGGATAAAATTTTGTATGAAGTTGATAGCAGTGATATCCCCTGGTAATTACTAGTCAGATTTATGACCCTTCTTGTGAATGGGTACAATAATAGACTCCTTCCACTGATCAGGCAATTTTTCCTTATTCCACATAATTAGCTTATGGATCTTAGAATGTAAGATTTTGTCTCCTGCTTGAATAAGTTCTGACAGAATTTGATCACTACCTGGTGATTTATACCGTTCCAATTTTGAAGTAGCACTTTAAACCTCAACAGGGCTAGGATCAGGTACTAACGGCTCAGCTGTGTGCATTTCTCTCTGTATAACATCGCTGACCATTCATTCATTCATTCATTCATTTATTCAGCATTCCATAAATCCTTACATGGTTAAACACCAATGGAAATAGAAATAGTCAGCATGAGTAAACATCACATACTGCATCACAGTTGTGTAATGTTATACCAGTTAAAAATATTAACAATATACAACATGAAGAAAAGCCATCATCAATAACAATAAAGCGCTATTAACTACCACCCGTAACAAATCTGAAACTTTAATTATTGTCACAGTTAAAATATTCGTCCAATGAATAAAATGAATTTAAAAATAGGAATCTTTTAACAGCAGACCTAAATTTTTTTTAGGAATGTATTTGCATAACTTCTATACTAAAATGACTTGCGCCTAACACTGACTCAGCGCCTGTGTTTGCAGGATTGTGACACCAGCATTAAATGAGGTATAACTGTATTCTGGCCATGGGGTTCTGAGATGTCAAGGCTCCCACATTTTCTAGATGATTGGCTCACAGATGGTGGTGAGGTTGTCAGCCTTATGTGTTGGCCTCCATTTACCCCCAGGAAGACTCATGGTACTCATTTCTGTTAGAGGCTGATTTGACCCCAGGGACATAGTGTGGCTGGAAGGGATAGGTCAATTGAAAAATCCATTGACCTCATCAGGATTCGAACCCACAACCTTCATTGTTTTTCTGTTACTGTAGTGTTTACAGAAGTAGTGTCTTTTTCCCCTCCAGGGATGAATTTGCAGATCTGCTTCATGAATGAGACTGTGTCTGATACCGAGTCTCCTAGTTCAGACACAGAGGCAGCATCATCACCAGTGAAGATGTCAACAGTTCCACGGAGCAGTACTTTGCCAGTAAAGGTACGAGTCTCAAAATAAATTTCAGTGAAACCCCCCCATTTAACCATTTCGAATGCTAAACTGAGAAGAATCTTAAATGGGTTTACAGTGAACATCTGTAAGCATCTGGAGTTATCCAGTTGGTAAGAATTTTGAAAAAAATTTACCTTTTTTTTATAAAGTTATTAAAAAAAATTGTGGCACACAGATGGTCACTTGCTGCCACTAGCAGCACTACTCATCTTCCTCATGTAGGTGCCATTACAGCAGGCGCTAGTTGAATTTGTCATTTCATTACAGTATAAAAAAAGCAATTGAAGCTATCCTTGTAACAGGTTCATTACAGTATATGTATCCGAAATCTTTTGCCCTCAATCCACTAGGTCATTTATGAGAACTCTCACACAAGAACTACATTGAGAATGTGTTTTTTTTTCTCTGCAGTTTCTGTTGTGGCTTCTGTAAGAATTTGTCTTGTTCAACTAGCAGATTCATATAACCATCATACCTAATTTCCCATATATGATGGAAAACAGGGAGTTTACTGTAATTTATCACTGAGGGTCTTGACTTGGATGTCATTAGAATTGAATGTGAGATGAGGGAGAATATTAAATTGAGTAACATTAAATAAGGGGTCCACCATACACTCTAAATTTGTTATGCCATATAACAGAATCTTCTAGTTCAAATAGAGAGAGAGCTTTTGTCACCAGTGAAGATCAGAGAACATGGCAACAGCTCCATGGAGTAAGTAATACCTTGCCAGTAAAGGCATGAGTTTCAGAACCTGGAATGAAATGTCATTGTGGTTCATGGGCACAAGTTTCTTTCCTATAAGTTCTTGATGGTCTGTGAATCAAGGTGGATAAACTTACATTGCATTGAAACTCTTAAGACACGTGAACTATAACTAAAAAATACACAGGGTGAGGCCACCAGCTTACTCTTGGTTTCTTGCTGGGCTTACGCAGATGGAAGTGATTCCTTCCTCCAAAACATCACTGGACTTCTGTCAAACTGCATGGTGTTATAACCCAGAGGATTGTACTATTCTTTATTTAGATGATGGTGAATAATGGTAATCTAGAAAGAGAAAATCTCGCATCTTCTGGTTTGGATAAGCTGGATGAACAATTGCAAATCATCCCACTAATAGTAAACAATTTTATGTTGTACAGGAGGATACACAGGTTCTTAGATCCTCCACTAGATCAAAAAATTGCCAGTGACAAGGGAGAAATAGGTTTGTATCTAGTCATCAATGATGGGGGGGGAATAACCCTTCCTGTAGGATTAATAATACAAATGTTACTCGAATAGCTGAGTTGTTTAAAAATAAAACATATGTTATAAATAGTGATTTTGTTAGCAATAGGAATGATGATTACAATAACCTTTTCAGTATATTCCATCAAAATATTAGGGGAATTAAAGGAAAAATTGATGAGCTTAAGATCTCTATGTAGTCAGGCTTCTAACTTAATTTGTTTCACTGAGCATCATTTAATGGACCATGAAGTTGATGCATTACACATTAAGAAATATAATCTTGGTGCAAAGTTTTGTAGAAGAAAGTTAAAAAAGTATGGGGTATGTATA